CCCCCCCCTCTCTCTCTCTCTCTCTCTCTCTCTCTCTCTCTCTCTCTCTCTCTTTGTGAGCATATACTTGACATCACTTGAAGATTATGGTGGAAATATGTTATAAAATCATTCATACATTAAGTTTGAGGCTGATCTAGGCCACTGGAAATAGCCGTAGGTTGTCGTTGTCTGAAATTCTTATGTTTATTTCAAGTTTAATTTGAGAAGATATGTTTTATGATTTTTAAGTGAGCAATAATGATATATGATCTACAATGGATATGGTGGAGGATCTTTTTCTGGGGAAACAATATATCTCACCTATTTACATGGGAACCAATTTTGGCATTTTCATTTTTTGATGGTGGATGGATGGATCAATGGACTTCGGAACTTGAATCTCTCCTTCTGGGTTTTTGGTTTCATTTTGTATTTGATAGATCTTGAGAAGAAGAAAGGGCAATGAATTAGCAAGATAATTATAAAAAATGCGGGTATTTCTATGGTGGTCGTCCTCTGGAAATTGAAATGGTGGCATGGACAGTGGAATGGAGGTGTTATGCCTTGTGTGAGAGAATAGAGGTGGACCACGCCTTTGCATTTATTTTGTGAAAGCAGCCCTGTTAACTTTTGTTCTAATATTTTAATTTGATTGCAAGGATAGAATTGCGAAAACATGCAGTCAAACACTCGTAACCTGGAAAAAGCCTGTTGAAGTTGAACGTGGCTCATTATGAAATGCGAGAAGAGTATGGTTCCCCATGCATGCGTACTCCAATTTTAACAAAATAATCTCAGCTAAGTAAAATAAGTTTGGTTGCGTATCTTAATGTCAGAATGATATGATATATGATTTAAGCATTGGGTTATTTCTCCAATAGTCTGCATGACCAAGCTTTCTCTTTTTCTTTTTTCATGTAAATGAAATGTTCGCATGCAACCAGTACTTACAGTTCATCCCTTTGTTCTGTATCTGTTGCTTCTTCAACAAATCAGAATTCTGGAGGAACTACTGAGAAATAATTCTTCTGAATTGCTCTAGTTGAACTCCTATTTGCATTTTGGTGCCCATAAAGGACACCTCATATGCTCAATTGTGTTTCACAAAGTGTTCGTTTATTGAAGAATTTTTGTTGGAAGTAATAAAATAATAGGACACATTTCTAAATACTGCATTTAAGTCTATTATCTTGAGGATCAATCCTTGATATAATTTCTTCACCCACTTTTTCTACTTCCAGATGACTGAGAAATTAGTAATCTTTTATGCAATTTTTTTTACTATTTCCCTACCAATTCATGGTGATGGCTATGATGAAGATTTAAAATATGAAAGATTGTCTGAAAAGATGATGTTACGGGAAGATGATTCATTATCCTGTATGCTTCCAATTTTTAATATGGGACAAGGACGGTGCACTGTTGGTCACACATACTTAAGAACTTCACTAATGGCCTATGCTTGAGGTTTGAACAAAGCTTCTCTACATTTGGCAAACTAGCTGATGCAGAAAGAGATGAGAACATGAGAATTTTGGAAGAGCAGTCCGGAGTGAGAAATTCAATAAGTTATTTATGGGTTATTTAACTATAGGATTCCTATTCAAGAATGGCAATGTACTAAAATGGCACAATGGAAGATTTTCCTAAGCTTAAAAGATTAACAATTATTACAAGAAAATAAATTATTACTCACCTTCTAAATTTATGCTTACAATAAGGTTGTGTTTGGTACACGGAATTAGATTGTACAAGGAATTTAGTATTTAATAGACTATATAAGGAATTAAGTATAAAATTAGAGTTGATATGCTTGTAGATAGTATCAAGGAGGATTAATGGAGAGTAGTTTTTAGTTTTTCATTTAAAAAAATGTTGTTTGCACTATCTTTTCTATGCTAGCTGGATAACATAGTACGGAATGAGGAGGTGGGTTTAGGCTAGATAATAAAGATAGTGCAAATTATCATTCTTTTGAATGTAAAATTTTAAAAACTATCCAGCTTATTCCATCATAAAACAATCTACCTAGTATTATCTCTTCTAATTTTATTCACATTTTCTAGTACAGTATAATCCAGTGTGCCAAATGTAGCCTAAGTGCATCATAGTACAATCTACCTAGTATTATCTCTTCTACTTTTATTCACATTTTCTAGTACAGTATAATCCAGTGTGCCAAATGTAGCCTAAGTGCGCACTTCTGTAATCTAATCTCCCTCTTCTGGAAGTAATCTCTTTTATTTCTCCTGGGTTGAAAAGAACTTGACTTGGCAAGCTAGGTTACAAAATATTGTCTCAATTAGGTTATCCCAATATTAGGAAATCTCCCTCACTAGGAATGCAATCTCAAATATTGACCAGGGTTGACAATAAGCCGAATATGACAAGCTATGCTACAAATAATATCCCACTTAGTTTGTCACCTTTTCATTTTGGGATGTCCCACAATAAATGTCATTGTTCTAGAAAGTAGACTAATCCATTTTTTCGATATTAACTGGGCTAAGATGGGAAAAACTTTCAATTTACTCGTCTATGTGCTTTAACAGTTTCTATCTCTTCCACCTACCCAACAACATCCCACCTACGCATTCTCATAACCCCAAAACGAAAACCCAACTTTAGTTATTCTCCAATCAATTAGTATTTCTTTCTACACATGCCAGCTTGTGTTGCCTGCAGTGAATTGTCGATGTTCTATTAAGAGGGTGTTATTGCACCTTTATTTTCTTTTTAATTACTACTACTTTTTTTTTAGTCAAATTGTTCTTACATTAGACTTCTATTTGTAACATAACTGAAAAAGAAAAAGAGGGATTATTTTTCTTAAGGGTTGATTGATGATTGAGTATTTTTTTGTTCTCTCTATATGCATTTTTATTTTCATTTATCTACCGTTGAAAATCAACCTGTGGAAAGTGTTTGAAAGTTTAGTTGTTTAATTCCTTCGCGAGGTAATTAGATTTAATGGAGATCCCATCCAAGATAGTGGACATTGGAAGAGAGAAGACTACACACAAAGGCATCCGGATTCATCCATACCTTTTTTTTGGATGGGGGAATTGTGGCTCATATGGTGTTCGGTTGATTGGCCCAAGATGGAAAAAAAATGTATTAGAGAAAAGCTTGATTCTGTATATCAAGATCTAAATCCTTCAAAAGGTTATTTTCTCTCTGCATGAGGTCCAGATTGAAATAAATAGATGATTTGAGAAATCAAAACGAATAGTAATATTAGATTTATTTCATGTACTTGATATCCACTAATATCTATTGGTGAATATCATTCTAAAACTCCCACTTGGCTCAGCAGAATTTTAAATGACCATGAATCTTTGACATAGAACGCCTTGGAAGAAAAGTCGTGAATAGCGCGACCAACTTACGTTGCGCGTGTATGTGTAAATTTCTTCCTTGGAAGTGCTCGTTTTTAACTATTGTTTCAAATTACCTCGCCTTTTGTGTATATGTATGATTCAATGTTAGGACTACATGCTTTTTATTGAGTATATACCTTCCGTGATACGTTTTTATAATTCTTCTGTTGGCAGGAGGCCCTCCACTATGGAGGAAATTCTTACAATTGAAATTAAGCCCGGGTGGAAGAAGGGGACGAAAATAACTTTTCCAGAGAAAGGAAATGAAATGCGAGGTTATATACCATCAGACTTAGTTTTCATTATTGATGAGAAGCCTCATGGTGTATTCAAGAGGGATGGGAATGATCTAATAGTCACCCAGAAGATCTCTCTGGTCGAAGCTCTGACGGGATATACTGCACAAGTGACTACGCTTGATGGGAGGAATTTAACAATACCCATCAATTCCATTGCTAGTCCCACCTATGAAGAAGTCGTCAAAGGGGAAGGGATGCCCATCCCAAAGGAACCCGGCAAAAAGGGTAACTTACGAATTAAGTTCAACATTAAGTTCCCTAGCAGGCTTACATCCGAGCAGAAAACAGGCATTAAGCGATTGTTAGCATCTTCATGAAGACCACACTCTGCAATACTCATGTAAGCTTGGATTTGTTTTTCTGCCTGTCTTGTTATGAGATAGAAATTGCATGAAGGATGATCCAGGTCTTCATCATTATTTTAAATGTTTATTTATCTTATCTAGATATTGAAAACGCTGGTGATCAGTCTGCTTTTGTGTCAAATTTTATTGCTCCGATAATCATGAGACAATAAATTTGGCACCTCAAGCTTTGAGTCCTTTTCGAATTTTTCCATTCTTATGTTGGAGATGAAAAGNAGCATAACTTTTTTCTAATAATAGAATTTGCACAAATTTTCTTAGGGTCCGTTTGATTACAAGAATGGAATTTGAAAAAAAAACGAATTCTATGAAATTGAATTGTTTAGAACTTGATTTACTGAAAATTGTTAATTAAATGTGTTTGATTGGTATAAATTTTCACATGAATAATGTTGAAATTTTGAATCTTTTGGTATTCGTTTGGCTTTGTTTTTAGGTTAAAGTGATAGGGCTTTTATATTTGATGGAAACAAATAAAGAGCTCAATTCACAGAAAAAGTTAGCACTTGTTTGATCTCCGTTTTTAGCAAAGATGTATTTTGGAATAATAGATTGATGAAGAATGTGTGGTTAAGAAATAAAAATAAATAAATTTAAGTATAATATTATTTTATTAAAAAATGTGTGATTGAGAAGAAGATAATGAAAAATATATTTTGAAAATAATGGGAATCAAACATGGAGCTGAGTCCTGTTTTTATTCGTTACTTATGGACTTTTTAAGAAAGTTTTCCAAACAGAGTTCTAATACTAGGGACCAAACGACGGCGTTTTGATCGTATCCGTTTTCTCCACTCATCTAAGTTAACATGCACACTCATTTCTCACGGTCGTCCTCCCGGCAATTCCAATTCATACGATTCTTTGGATCTTCATATGTAAATTTTTATTGATTACTCAATAAATTGTGGATCTCATAATTTTTTATACAAAAATGGCTTCATTTTCTTCCAATATTCGAACTGTAGAGGAGATCTTCAAAGATTACAGCGCTCGTCGTGCCGGAATCGTTCGTGCTTTAACTGATGGTACCCCCTTATATTCTATATGTTTTCGCTCTTCCAAATCTGTATTGATTATATATTACATACGGTGACAAAAATATGTGTGCCTACAGGCAATTAGTTTATTTTAGTATATATATCTGAGTGTGGGATGGTGTTTTTACAGATGTGGATGAATTTTATGGGCTCTGCGATCCTGGTAAAAATTTTCCAGTTTTGTTATTTTACTTTTTTTGCGAAATATAGATTGAGGTAATTGTTCGTTACATCAAATTATTGAGTTTCTGACTTATTGCGTAATAGATATTGAAAACTAGTAATTTCATCACTTAAAAAACTAGTAATTTAATGTTCATGTTAGTATTTATTTTTCAAAATGATGAATTGTTAGTTTAAAGGTTAATTTAGCTGCTTTTCGGTTACTGAGAAATGTGGAAGGAGACTGTTATCTTTGCTTTTCCTAATTATTCAAATCGAATTGTTAAGGGAAAAATTTGTTCTGAAGTTCAAGTTAGGTCAAAACTACTTAAAAATTTAACAAACCTTTTTTTTTTTTTTTTACTCTGATCCATATGATTTGATACAAATGGTTTTAAATGAAAGGTTCCATTTTACTTTTTATCTTAATTCTTGAATGAACGTAAAGAACTTAGGTTTCTGTTTGTTTCCTTAAATTTACGCAGCAAAGCTAATTTTATGATGCTATTTTCTTTGAAATTGAAATCTAAATGTCAGATTTAAGTTATTGGCTTCTGCAATATGTTTCTTTTTGTACACAAATAGAATAAAGCTAAAATACCCTAGATAACTGTAGTTAGCAGACATCCCTTCTGTAAGTTCAGTGATGTGTTATTGTTAATTCAATTTGTTTATTTCACTTCCCTTTTTTGGGGGGTGTTTTACTGATTTTATAGAGAAGGAGAATTTGTGTCTATATGGATATCCAAATGAAACTTGGGAAGTCAATCTGCCAGCTGAGGAAGTTCCGCCCGAGCTTCCTGAACCAGCACTTGGTATCAATTTTGCAAGGGATGGCATGAATCGTAGAGATTGGCTTTTACTAATTGCTGTGCACAGTGACTGTTGGTTGCTCTCTGTGTCTTTCTATCTTGGCGCTCAGCTCAACCGAAATGAAAGGTACTTTGCATTTTTATGATATATATTCACGTGTCATTGTTTGTTGATGTGTGGATGATGATTTTAGCTCATATTTGTTTATTCCATTTAACTGCTTGAGAATTTTTGTCCTAGCTGTTTTAAACTGAGTGGGATAGGCATTTTATTGATTATGTTCAACGACTTTTGGAACCGACACTGATACGAAAAGTAACCTTTCAATGGGTTTGTTTAGGTCAAGAAAAAAAAATCTTTATCCTAATTAATGGCAGAATTTGGAAACGCACAAGGTTCCAAACTTGTCAAAAGTTTTACAATTCTGATTTCATAACACCAAAATTCATGTCACATTGAAAGTCACTTAATATCATCAGGTGAATGATTGTTAGAGTTTGATCTACGTAATGAGGGGCAGCATATTCAAATATATCCTCAAGTTTGCTGTCTTTAGTTGCTCAGACTCTCAAGTCTCATCAATTAAAGTTTCATATCCTAAGAGAAGACAGTCAGTAACTGTATCTATAAATTGTTGGCCCATGCTTCAGTCATATATTCTGGCTGAAACGTTGTATAATTATACCCACACTTGGTGGATGAATTTCAACTTCATGATAAGCAGATTTTACATATTTTTAAGTGCTTGTTTGGTAAAGCTTTTGTTTGTAAATGGCTGGTCAAACCTGGTCAAGCTTCATTTATAACCACATATTTCATTGGACCCGCAAGTTATCCACTTTTTTACCACACATTTCATGGGATCCATTTAGCTTTCATAAACTTTTAGCAACATTAAGCAGCCTCTAAATTTGTTGCTAGCTTGTGTTAGATAATGCAACCTGAAACTCTCCCTTGTTCTGATTATGTGTTCCAGGATGTCTGAACTTTATTGTATGAAAAAATTAAGTAAATGATGCAACACCAATAAGAAGATTAATAGAAAAAGTCGACAAATTCAGAAAGAATAGGGAATTAAGGAGGGAAAGAAGAAGAATTTAACAGAACAAGGCAGAAGAAGGAGAGGGATGCGCCATAAGCCACCAAAATAATTATTCATTCATCACCTAATGAAATTACATGGAAAAGTAAGTTTAAATAGTAAACCAAACCCTAACTAGAATGGGCTTGGGCCAATACAAGCCCAATAAAAAATCAGGATATATATATATATATATATATCAAACAACCGCCGTCCAAGACTGTAATACGATTGTTATTCGTGAAAAGAATTTCAGCAAAGTGCAGGCTCACATTGTAACTCCCATTCTCCAGGCAATAATGAAAATATGTAAGTGAAAGAGAATTAAGACGTGCTGTACTATACAAATCAGAGAGATTTGTTGTCGCTGTAGGTTCGCAAGACTTGAATTTTGGTAATTAGGCTCGTCCATGAAGTCCCCGGTGCCGGTAAAGCCCCATTGACTGTTACTTAAATATCTTGCAGAATCACCATACACATCTCCTTGATATACAACTCTTCCATGGCTTTCTTCTACTGTCACATCAGTCCCACCACAATTAACATGTAAAGAACACTGATCTACCACAAAAATTATTGCTTTTGATAAAGTACGCAATTTCATTAAGGTTTAACAAAATAATGGTAAGTAACTGAAAAGCTTAAATAAATTGCAAATGCACAAAAAAAAATCAAGGCATACACAATTGTAAAAGAGATTGCCAAACAAAATATTCCTTCAAGGTTAATGACTTTAGGGCCAAAACAAAAAATATGACATATTTAAGGCTCAGCATAACTTCTGTATTTGGGGCAAGATACGAATCTATAAGGAGTGAGATACAATGAAGATTGTATATTTGGCAAAACTTAACTTTTTATTTAAGTTAATCGAACATAATTTTTATCTACACATTTTATAGGATCGACAAAATGATACGTGTATTTGGACCAATATACTTTAAAATTTTACAAGGACCAGCACTACAGACTTGCAATATGACAAAATTCCCAATATTAAATTCAAAATTTCTCTTATGCAAATCAGCTTGAAATTTATATAATGCATTACTTGCTTCAAATTGTTTATTGATCTCAATATGTAAGTCATGAAGATGATGTACAAATGCCTCAGCCGACGCAAACATACTAGTATGTGGGGACATTGGAATAAGGTCTAAAGGTTTCCTAGACTTATAACCATGAATAACTTCGATGGAACTTGTACCGATAAATCGATGCACAAAATTGTTATATGCACTTTGAATTGTTGGGAGGATCAAATCTCAATTTTCAAGATTTTCCTTGAAAAGTACATGATTACACAAATCATCCGTACCTTTGGGTTGGAAAAGAGTATGACACACAACATTTAACTAAGGGGTATCGGGAACAAGGGGTACAACCCCTAGATTCATAGGAAAACTCCTGATATTACATAAGGAAGTGTCCTCAATATCATTCAAGTCATCACATTCTTCAAATTTAGGTTCATAGATTTGATCTTTTAACGACTCTTCTATTATATCCTTTCGTTCTTCTATGACTAAGGCTCGATTATGACATTTGGAAGAGATGTAACCAAAGTCCTTACAGCTGACACATAGCAGATGAGAAGAAGTCCCTGGAGTTTCAAAAATTTTACTCTTATTTTTCAAGATTTGAAGAACATTAGACGGGAGAGGTCCTAGAAGAGACTTAACAGGAGGAGGTGGAGCCAATGAGACGGAAGAATGGTTGTTAATACGCCTTCTATAAGGAGAAGGGGGTCTTGGACTATCACGACCTTTACACTTATTTTTCCAAATCAGAGGAACACTAGACGGGGAAGGCTCTATGACAGACTCATGTTAAGGTGACGCTAATGACATGGGAGAACAATGGTGGTCGCGCTTTACATATGGAATACTAATAAGTAACTTATAGTCTCGAGCTGAAGAGTAAGCTTGATCAAGAGTAGTGATGTCTCGAAAGAAAAGTTCACGCCTAAGTTCATCTCTTAGACCTTGTATAAACCTATTTTAAGTCAGGGCATCATCCTCAACGACATGACATTTCACTCGAAATTCCTCAAATTGAGTAATATACTCAGTCACTAGCCGATTCCCTTGTGTAAGGGTGTTCCATTGGGTAAAAATTTCACGATCTAAGCAACCATCGAAAGTAGGAGTATCTAAGTCAATGTCTCTAAAGAAACGCTCCTTACGACGAGGAAGAGAATGAGTACCATGATGACCATGGCCTTGTTCTCGCTCACAAACCTGATCCCTATTCCTACGATCGCTTCGAAAATATTTTTGATCACTATGTCCACGATGATATTGTCTATTATGAGACGTTTCAGAATTAGTGTCAGTCAAACGAGGGGTTTGCTTAAAATTGCTTAACTTAGCAGCTAGGTTCTTTCTCTCCTCACGAGTAGCAGTTATATCTGATTGGACAGTCGATAGGCTAGTGGCAAGTTGCACTAATTGTCTAGTGAGTGCATCAAATGGGGATGGATCCATGGTCAACGTTTTGGAAATAGAGACGACAAAACGACCACTATGCAACTACGTGCAATTTAATACCAGCTAAATGACGTGCAATGATGAGATCATTGAAAAATAACAAACTAAGCATTTTTTTCAGGGTTAAATAAATTCAAATATGGCAAGCTAATACTGCTGATCTAGGTAAAATAACAAAGCACGGATCAAATAATAGTCAAAACCGAATCATGTAATATAAGTGGGGTAAAATAGGGTTTTGACGAAATCAACGGATTCAGTCACATGACTTTAGGTATATTGTTAGAATAACAACATCACAAAAATTTAATTAATACAATTTTAAATGAAGCAACCAATGACAAATATAAATCAAGCACTCCCTGTTATTTAGTTGCAGTGGTGGTGCCCACGGAAGCTTAAACCTGATGGCGATGTACTTCAAGACCCAAAGAATCAGAATTGTGCCCAATTATGATTTCTCAGTTGGCACGTCTCCAGTAGAAAATTATAATGGAATACTCCTAAGCAGTCGAGTCGCTAAATGGAACACTAATCCTCAAGAGTTTTAACAAACTGCCCCAATGCAAATAATAGGCCAAATCCAATTCAACAAATGTCCCTGGCACTCTGAACTCAGAAGAAGTCCACCGACGCGAAAACTGAACTCCGGGTGGTGGGTGACAACTAGCGTGGCAGTGGATTGCTGGCGATTGTCGGTAAGGGCGGTCGCAGAAAGTGTGGTGACTGTGGGATATCGACGGGGAAGGAGGAGTTTAGGGCTTGAGTTGATTGGGTATTGTAGATGTGGGCTAGGTTAAGTATTGTATATAATGGGCTAGGGTTATGGGCCGAGCGAATTTGGGACCGGTTATGGGTTGAATGGTGTTGGGCCGGTTGTGATAATATGTGATAAGTGGTTTGGATTTGGTGTTTATTGGGTTGAAAAGCGAGTGGATTGGTTAAATAGATGATGAGAGGTAAGTTGTGTGTTAGTGGGCTTTGAAAGTAATTTGGGCCACTAGCTTATGACCCAAGTGTTTTGATAAATAAAATTAATGAATGGACTTGGTTATAGAGATGGAATATATGGGCTGAAGGGCTAAGTGGGCTTGAATGTTAGGGTTTGGGATTTGTGGAACAATGCCACAATTTTTTTTATTTATGAGCAGTAGCAGCAGCATAAAAAAAACGAGATTTTTTTTTTGCGTGAACAGTAACTTTTTTTTTTTTCAACTAAGACTGAAAATTGAAGAAGAAAAAAATTGCTGCCTTTACCAAAAATTCTTTTAGTTTGTGCTGTTCCAACAAATTTTGGGAAGGAAATATGAATAGATTTTGGATGAAAGAAAACAAATTACCCAAGGTTTGGCCCTGATACCAAATTTGATGCAGTACCAATAAAAAAATTAATAGAAAAAGTCGACACATTCAGAAAGAATAGGGAATTGGGGGGGCGGGGGGAGAAGAATTTAACAGAAGAAGGCAGAGAAGGAGAGGGATGCGCCATAAGCCACCAAAATAATTATTCATTCATCAACTAATGAAATTACATGGAAAAGTAAGTTAAATAGTAAACCAAATCCTAACTAGAATGGGTTTGGGCCAATACAAGCCCAATAAAAAATCCACAACAAAATAAAGTCTACCAAAATGAAATAAGGTTCGACTAGAAATAAATAAATAAACTGGATGTCCTCATCAAAATGAAAGCTGAAAACGTGCTACATTTTGGGTTATATTCAGCTTTGACTGATTGAATTTTGTATTTTGAGATCTTACATACTGTGAACAAGTCAAAGGTAGACATCCCACTTTTGATTTGGAAAGGTGCACACAAGTCTTCATTGTTAATTTGATGTTATGAATCTTGAAAGTAGTAATATTGCCTCAAGTTCTCCTTCCTTTGGAGATTTCCTATTCCTTGACTGGAAACCAAAGCTTATGATTTAGTCTGTGGCAGAAAATATTGTTGCCAGTCTAACTTTGATAACTATGACAAGCATCAAAAGTGATCTGGTTCATGAAGTTGATGTCCAAATTGCTGTAGAATAGAATATGTATGCTGTGGAACTGTCTCACTGCTTGTAAAACTTCAGAAAGTTGAAGAATTGAAACAATTTAAATGAATTAGAACAATAGGATACCATTGCCTTTCACCTTTTTGCTGAGGCACATATAGTTAGTTGATTGCACCACAGAAATTATCTGTAGTTGCCAGAGCATCATTACTGGCAAGGCATACAATTTTATTGAGGCGTTTACAGGGATTGAATTTTGGGGTGGGGAAAGGAGGTGGATTTTGATTGGATTTAGATATCCTCATATGTGAATTACTGTCTAGTGTCTAGTATAGTTAAAATTTTGTAAAGGATTTTTATTTCCTCTCTTTTGGGGGATGTGTGGGGGATGGGAACCAAACTTGTTTGGTCATATTGATGCATTTCATTTTGAATGTTACAGCCTTTACAGTGTACCAATGGTTTTTACCACTTACAGGAAGCGACTGTTCAGCTTAGTGAATGATCTGCCTACAGTCTTTGAAGTTGTGACTGAAAGGAAGCCAGTGAGAGACAAACCCAATGCAGACAGCGGAAATAAATCACGTGGCAGTACAAAGGTAGGATAGACACAAAGTATAATGGTGTTGCTATTAAATCTTTCCTTTCTTGGATTTTGCCGTCCTTCCTTCCTGAGAAGAAGGGGAGTGAAAGTAATATTTATCTAATTAGGATGTGCGGGCAGTGATATTTGCCATTGGCAACATCAGATATTGAACCAGGGCAGGAATATGACGGGAGGGTTGATTTCTAACCCCAGCCCCAGCCCCACCCCCACGCCCACCCCAAAGCCTCTATGAACTGGCAACTAACAATAGTAGTTCCCTTGCATTTCTTGTTTATTTATACCTTTGATTGCCCCTGTATCTTACATTTTTTGAGCTTTACGTTTGTGTCCTTATTTGCAGAGATATAGCGATGGTCAGGCAAAAAGCAATCTAAAACTGGCGGAAGAGAGTTACGAGGAGGATGAAGATGAACACAGTGAAACACTATGCGGAAGCTGTGGGGGAAATTATAGTGCAGATGAGTTCTGGATTGGCTGTGACATCTGTGAGCGGTGGTACCACGGGAAATGTGTGAAGATAACTCCTGCTAGGGCTGAGAACATAAAGCAATACAAATGCCCGTCTTGCATGAAGAGAGGAAGACAGTAGTGGTTACTATATCATCCGAGGATTAACAGTGTCAATTTGGTGGCCGACCAAGTAGATAGCAATATTTATAATGTTTGTACCGGATTTCTCCTGTTCGTTTATAACAGATGAAGGCAAAGGGAATGATGTTGGGTTTCTTCTTTAGTCAGCGCTCTCCTAAAATATTACGGCCTAATATAGAGGCATAATTTTATTTTATTTTTCTTTTAATTTTATAGTGGAGGCTATTATGTACTACATTCTTAATGGATATGTAATATACTGTCTGTATATGCACATGTTTCTATTGTTCAATTTTTTTGCTTCAGGAGCTACCCAGCAAGGCTTGAAGGCAATGGCCATTCGAGGATCGAAGTCTTTCATTGACAAAAGATTTTCTGAGAAAAAAAAAAAAGAAACTTTTTATTAAAAGAAGAAAAATAGTTTTAATCAAGACATTCCAGACATAATTCTCAACAATCTGTAATTCTAAACAGAATTTTGTCTAGAAAAAATAGTTATGATATATCTTTGCCTAGGACTATATGTGAACAGTTATGATTTCATACTTGCCATTATTCGAATGCATTATAGATTTATTATTATTTTTTTTCTTCAGAGTCCAGTGAAATCAAAATTCCAACAATAGATCAACTATGTTACCTTTGTTATTGTTCATGTTACGATAACATATCATTTATATCTCCAACTTAGTCTCTAATGGTCTCAACCCCACCCCTCACGCTTCAAAACATTGTCAAATACTCGATTACATTACAAATTTATGAATCGGCCTTTGAAATCTGCATAGCTGCTTATGTAACATAGTTATCAATGACATCTTCATATTTGTTGAGAATTTTATTGGTAATAATTAGGAAATAAAAATTTTGAAAATATTAATTTACCAGCAAACTATTATTAATTTCCATAACTAAAATATATATAGAAAAATATCGATTATCAAAGAATATTTCGTCTGTAAATAAGATGCCCATTTGTAGTAATGCGGTATCTGCAATTCAAGGACAAACCAGTTCCCCGCTTCTACATTTGGAACACTTCTTCAAAATCCCCAAGTATAGATAATATGACTGCAAGTAGGGAGGGGGTCGATACGCGTTCGAACAATTCAGGGCCTAAGCCAAAATTCTAAAGGAAACTTTTATAACATAATAATAGGAGTAGAAATTTAATTGATCAAATAATCAATATAAATTCTATCAACGATCAACAATATTCTTGTAGGTGATTATGAAAGAAATTAGGATTTTGCTACTTGTACGTAAAAATAGTACATAAGCGGTTACCAAAATTGACGTTGGGAGAAAAGATTGGATGAAAAAATTGACCGCATTTTAATTTGGCAAATGATAAAATGCTATGTGAATATTATATAAACCTGGTTGTATATTTACGGGGACAGAGCCAGGAAATGATTCAAGGGTGGGCTGAAATTTAATATTTTAAATAAATTGACGAGTTTAAGTGACTAAACTGATTACATTCATCACAAATAGTATTAGACACTCAATGGAATACAAGTCTAAATTCTTATCCTATGTCTCACTAAATATTCATACTTTTTCTTGCAAAATACGACATCGATGCTCACCTTATAAAATATAAACTGATAGAAGTATGATAAACGTGGGCAAATAATATATATCCAACAATAAAGAAGCTAAAAAAAATAATAGTTAAGAATTTTATCCATGTTTGATTCAACTGCTATAATATACATATAATCTTATTTTTTATAAATAAATAAGTTCTTATAAATATTTTTTTATTATAAGATTAAATATGAAATAAGTTACTTATTTTGATGGTAACATCAATTTCATGGTTAAAATAAGTAAATTTCTCTCTTATGAGTATAAATAAGTTATATATGAAAATATTTCTAAAACTAAACAATTTAATTACTTTAAGTTTGGCCAAACATTTAGTGTCTCTTACTATTAAAATAAGTAATTCATTTTAGCTCTAGTCAATACAACTTTATTTATTATAAAACTTTATATATAATTATAAGTAAAATATGCATTAAATAAAAAACCAATTTGGTAATAAAATTGTACACATTTCATTAATACCATGAAAGAATATTTGGATAGTTGGACTTGGGGTTGTGACACAATATGAAGCTAGGCTAATCATAGTTATTTGGGCCAATTTAATTGTAAAATACTTTGAGGAAATTAGGCCCACTAGTCTGAAAAAAAAAAAAACCAACTAGATTAATACACTTAAAATAAATTAAAACCTCTAATCACCGTAATTTATACGTCCCAAAATTGACCTGAAAAGCCCCAAAATCAACTGCTTCAAAGAGGGGCTCTCAAACCATCCAAAACTCCCAAACGAGGAGTTTAAAGAGTGGAATCGACCAGATGATTTGGAAAATTGGGAACCGAAGTTGTCTTTGACTTTTGCCAGCATAATGTTAGGGCTCACTTTGGGACTCATGCCTCTCGGCCTTGTTAATCTTGAAGTTCTTGCCAAATCAAGCACTCCAAGGACAAAAATATGGCATTATAGTTTTTCTTCTAATTTTGTTTTGGATTGAAGTTGCCAATTGATTTTAAGGCAATTGGTATTTCACCTCAATATTTTGGTTTTTGTTAGAATATGGTTCAATAGAGTTGTTGTGGATTTCATGATTTTTAACAATAAGTGTTGTGCGGTCATCAATATTAGTTGATTTAAGTAGAGAATTTATTAGATACCTCCAAGGAACTATTGTTGGTCTGAATGTGTTTTGGTGGAAGTAATACATGTTTTAGGGTGGGTGATGGAAGAGTATGGTATGGTTGGATATTGGAGGAGATGTACGTTGTTGTTACGATGGGAGAATATATGAAGTTTGTGAGGTTTGCAAACAATGGAGACATGCTACTGGATTCACAATACAGATGCCAGAAAAATAACTTCTGCAGGTCATCAGAATATGCACACCAAGTGTTTGACATATTGTTTTATCCAATTCCATATGACAATATGCACACTATGATCATATTCAGAAAGGACATAGTTCAAACTTGAATTGACAAGATCATCGAATTTCTTGGTGATCTTCTCATCGAACAAAACATGAATCTTCAAGAATATAGAGTCCAAACTTCCAAGGAAACTGGATGAATACAGTGCATAACCTGTTGGCCGAACTCCAAGATGTAAGACTTGATTCGAACTTGAACCTTCGACCAAGGAACATAGAAATTTTTGCCAACAAACTGATCCTGGGATGAAGCTGACCAATGCACTGAACTGGCCGAAACTCACCAGAAAACTGTAACAGTCAAAGCAGCCCCAAGAATTGAGACTAAAATCAAGCATCTCCAAAGAAAATCACCAAGAAACCGGGCAAAACTTTGCACAAAATTGCTTGAACAAAGCATATGATCTCTTAACATTTTCAAATCTGCCAAGAGATGAAAAACTTGGAATTTTCAAGGACATTGCTAAATTAATTTGATCGGTCTTCGACCAACCTTTAAGAGACTTGAAATTCTTCGATGATAGCATTTCAATTATTTCATGAGCATGCCTACCCTTTTGGCCGAACTTTGAGACTCCAAGGGACTTGAAACCTTCAAATACAACTTTTTTATTTTCTTTTTAATTTACGTCACTCTTTTTATTGTTTGTCACTTTTTTAGTTTCTGTCACTTTTTTTTTTTAATCTGTGTAGCTTTTTTTAATTTGTATCACTTTTTTAAATTCATCACTTTTTAAAATTAGTGTCACTTTTTTCAACACTTTTTTAAATTTTCATCACTTTTTTAAAATTTTTGTCGCTTTTTTTAGTATTTCTCACTTTTTTGAATTTTTGTCAATTTTTTTTAAGTGTTTGTCACTTTTTTTTATCAATTATGTTCTTGAAATTTCTATCACTTTTTAACAGTGACATTGTATGTAATTTTTTAATAAAAATGTGACACTAAACTTTCAAAAGTGACATTGTCACTTTTTTACATTTTGTCACTTTTTTTGAGTTTTCGTCACCTTTTAAATTTTTGTCACTTATTTAATAAGATAAAAAGTGACATATGATATGTTATATTTTTCTAACATATCAACATATAGATTGTCCTGAACATGCTGATTATGTTAAAAACCGTCATTACGCTCATGTAGATTGTTCTAAATATGTTGATTATGATAAAAAAAAAAATATGATTACTAGTGTTGCACAAATGGATGATGCTATTTTTGTGTTTGTCGTTTTTTTTGAGTTTGTGTCACTTTTTTTTTAATTTTGTCACTTTTTAAGTTTTTGTATCACTTTTTTCCCAAGTTTGTGTTACTTTTTGTGAAAAATTTTATAAAAAAGTGACATTGTGTCACTTTTTCATTTTACACAGTATTTTTTACTTCCAAAATACTTTTCATGTGATTTTTCAAAACACCTCTACTTTTAAGGGTATTTTTGTAAGTTGCCCAAATACCTTCCTTCTTGCAATGTGGGTTGGGAATATGGGCTGGACTATAGCTAAGCCTAGCCCACTACTAGATTCGTCGCTATATATGTAACAAGGACCAAAAAGTTAATATGGCCCAAGGCAAGTGAGGCCACTGCCTTGGGCCTCATGTTGTAGGGCCCTCATATCTTCAAAAAAATAAAAAATAAATAAAATAAAATTGGCACTGTGACTGATTCATACAGAAAGCATTATAAGTGATTGGGAGTTGGAACAAGGATTTGAAAAGTTTATGTACAAGTATTTTGTGATTTTGATTCTTGGCAACCTTCCCTCTCTCTATAGATACGTGTTTGTGTGTGGATATAATCCTGATCCTTAAGCACTTATGACACCATATTAAGTAAAAGTAATGAAGCTGCAAAAAAAAATTATTGAGTTATTTAGCACGAGTCTAAAGGTGAAAAATGTACATACCGGAGATTTAAACTTTAATTTATATGAAGATCTTATTATGAAAGTGAAAGTACATCTTATAAATTATTTAGTTCATTTTCTTATCATCTTCTGTCTTCTTTTTTTTCTTTGAATTTAATTTGGATAAACGTGCTATAATTATGTTCCATATTTTTTGAAATATTTTTAGTTTTTAAGTGTAAGAAACATTTATTTTTCCTTTCTATGTACTAATATAAAAGTGTTAATTATTTAAATATTTACATATTGTTAGACTTGTAAAATAAATTTTGTGTCGAGGGGTTCCATAATAATTAAACGCCTAGGGCCTCTAAATTTCCAAGGTCGGCCCTGTCTGCTGATGATTTATAATAAATTTAGACGCTGAAGTCATTGGTTATTACCAATGATAATAT